GTTTCTCATCAAATAAAAGCATTTTGATAAAAAATTTACCGAAAAAGAGTTTGTGAAAAATGTTGAATGTGAAAAAAAATGGCATGTTTCAGCGAGGTGTTAAAGGTAAGTTGATTTATTTTCTTCAATTAAAGATAAACTTTTACTCACTTTTACTCAGTGCAGGAAGTTGGACTGGTGGCCAAACTGTAGATGTCTGTAGTTTCAGCTTCATTTTTTTTGGTGAAACTAACACTGGAATAAATGATGGAAACAGCAGGAGGGCTGTTCTGTGTGGTCTCATCTCCGATCTCCTCATACACCGGAGTCATCTGCAGGAGGAGTTGGTTTGTGTTATTTTGGTTTTGCTTCAATTTCCTTTATACAAAGAACTTTAAAAATACACAGAATCAGAACTCACCTCATTTTCATCTAATTGTACTATAACCTCTGAAAGACAAATGATCCGGGTGATTATTGGTGAAGGAAGTCTGTGCTCTTTTCTACATCTTTGTAATTATTCCCTGTTCAAAAATAGCTCTGGACTTTTCAGTTCCAGACCCTGTTCAAAAATAGCTCTGGACTTTTTAGTTTCACTGGAAAAGTTATTTATCATTTTGATTTGATGGTTGTCTTACTTTTTGGTTTGCTGTTCCTCCAGAAAATGATCACAGCTGCGGCTAATATGACAATTAGAAAAAGGAGAACCAGGCCTGCATACAGCAACACACCTGTAGAACACAGCACAGTTCAGTTTATAGTTCTGTACTAATTCAGTTTGAAACAAAGTATCCATTAGTTCATGCTAAGATCCCCTGGACCAGCAAACTGCTAACTCCACATTTACTTGTATTATTTTGTATTTTTTCTGATTCTGATTCAAATCCCTGTCATATAGAGCAGTGTTTCCCAACCGTTTTTGAGCCATGGCAAATATTTATCATTAGGAAAAACCAGAAGGGACAAAACCAAACAAAAAGATCTAACAAAAGGTATATGTAATGAAATATAATAATATTTTAGTTAAAATTTCTCACAATTTACTAAAATTGTGGCCTTTTTAGTTGAAGACATGCTGATTTACTCACAAGAATTAAAGAAAAACTAAGATCTTCTTTAACGGCTCTGAAATGTTTTAGTTTTCATAGCCATCTGCTGCCACAGGGCAAGTATTTAATTGTTCAGCTGTCATATATATTATCGAGGTCAAATTCCAGTCACTCTAACATATAAGCGAAATACATTTTACCTGAACCTTTAGATGAGAGCTGCCACATTTTTCTATCCATTATCTATCGTATAGTCTACTGAGAACTGACTGGGTCACTGACACCTATTTATCATCAACAGTCTGTCTGTCTGTTTGTAGAAAGGACAGAGCGACGGTTTGAAGACAGAGGTCAAGTCTCGGACAAAGTCTGTCTGTCTGTTTGTAGAAAGGACCGAGCTGATTTGGTTATTTCTGACCTGGGTTTCCGTCGGGACACCATGGACAACTTGACTCTCACAGTTTATGCTGTGCTGAGAGTTTGTATAGCACGTGATCCTCCACAACTGTGTTCTCTACATTAGAGATTTGTAATCCTGATTCTATGCAGCCTTTGTTTTTTTCCGTCTTCCGACCCTGGTCCTCATCTCTCCTCAGTCTATTTTTCTACTGTCCTCGTGCCACAGCTCTCGTTGTGACCTTTTATTTTAACATCAAATGCACAAACGTTTTTCAGTCATAAAAATTGTTAATCATTGTATTTTCTTCTAACACTGTACGAGACTTGAGGGAACTATTTACCAGCTTTGGTCTTCCTGTTTCTTTCACAACAACGATGACATCTTTACAGTCGAGGCATCGGGTGTTTGATATTTTGTGTCGATATTATTATTTATGTTTAACATGAAGTTGTTGTTGCCACATTTTGTTGTAAAGACACATTGATGGATCAGGTTTACGTTGGTCAACCTGTGAGCTGGTGTGGCAGCCCCCTCACACCGGCTGTGCTGAGTAGATGACAGTGCTGGTGGTGTGCGCAGGAAAATAATCAGTTGTCACACTGGACGCACAGACAGATCCAGTGTCTGGAATAAAACACAAGACATATTTTCTCATCACAAAAGTGAATTTGTTGCTCTTCTATAATTCCATTTATATTCATATCTACATATATTTATTATTTATTTATATATGTATGTATATATATATATTTAGTTGGTCAGACATAAAAAGAATTATGATGAATATTTTTGAAGGAAAAAAATCAAACTTTTTCTAAACTTTTGTTTTTCATCAAATTAGAGCATTTTGAGAATTTTTTTTAGGAAATTCATTTTCAGAATTTTATTGGAAAATTCTGATTTCACGTGATGTTGTCAGACATTGAAACATTCTGATAAAAAAACTTTTCTGCATGTTTCTTATCAAATTAGAACATTTTGAGAGAAAACAAAAATCAGAATTCTTATAACTCATAACCTATATTGCTATAATATAGGTTATGAAAAATAACATAATTCAGGTGATTATTGGTGAAGGAAGTCTGTGCTCTTTTCTACATCTTTGTAATTATTCCCTGTTCAAAAATAGCTCTGGACTTTTTAGTTTCACTGGAAAAGTTATTTATCATTTTGATTTGATGGTTGTCTTACTTTTAGGTTTGCTGTTCCTCCAGAAAATGATCACAGCTACCAGTGATATGACAATTGGGGAAAGGAGAACCAGGCCTGCATACAGCAACACACCTGCAGAACACAGCACAGTTCAGGTTATAGTTCAGTACTAATTCAGTTTGAAACAAAGTATCCATTAGTTCATGCTGAGATCCACAGTGAGGTTCCCAACCACCGGAAACGATGCTATCTTCCAGACATTCTTCTTTTACTGCAGAGCATTTTCACAGACCTAAGAACAACGTTCTGTTTCCAATGTACTGATCTGTGTCTGGTCACACCAAGACTATGGAAACGTGAGACGTGTGAGAGAAAGAAGATGAAACCATGGTCAAAAGAGAAAGACAGAAAATAGATAGTTTTCCAATAAATACATTTCCATTTCCCCATAAATAAAGCCAGTATAAAATTGATAATAATACATTTTATTACTCACTGAGGAAAAAGGAGATGAAAGTCTGGTGGATGTTCATTTTTCAGCCTCAGATCTTTCACTGCTGCCGCACTTCCCTGTTTCAAGACAAACCAGAAACATCTAATTTTAGACCTCCTCTAACCGCCCACCTTCCCCCTTCCTCTCACACCAAGGATGACCACTTTCAAACTGACAAGATGCTGGACAAGTAGCAAGTTTGAGTGGGACAACGAGGGACCGCCGCAATAATTTAAAACCAACTTTTTTACCAATGGTAATAAAACATAGAAATAACCCAGCGCCACAAAACATCATTTTGCATCACAATCCAGCAGGTGGCAGGCCAACAGCCTTTCTCAGCACAACGAATAGCATGTTTCTGAAACACATTGGTAGCAGAAACCAATGTGTTTAACGAAATGATAAAACCTCAAAGACTCAATGACCATGAATGTATAATCGCCATTGTTGTAGAACTCTAAAAAAATCTGTACAGAGATTTGAGGTTTTCTGCAGACGGTTAACCCAGTGTTTCCCAACCGTTTTTGAGCCACGGCACAATATATATCATCAGGAAAAACCCCACGGCACACCACCAAACAGAAATCTGACAAAAAGTATATGTAATGAAATATAAAAATCTTCTAGTTTAAATGACCTCATAATTGACTTAAACCTTGTCGTGTTTAGTTGAAGACAATGCTGATATACTGGCAGCAATTGAAGAAAGACACAAACATCTTCTTCAACAGCTCTGATTATCTTTTTTTCATAGCCATCTTGCTTTGACGACCAAAGAAAAAACATTTAATATATATATAATAATATATTAAATAAATAATAGTTTTCAGCCCAATTAAGTGAAATACGGCACACCTAATGATCTCTCGCGACACATTGTTGTGCTCGTGGCACAGTAGTTGGGAATCACTGGGTTAACCGATATGAATGTGCATATTGCTCTGCGTGGTAAACACTGGTAACTTCTACTGCAGTAATTTGATACAACTCAGTGTCATTTGGTTTGGAGACTTTTTTTCTGTCGTGTACTTGTTGTGTGAGACTCACGTGCACCGTGTCGTTTCCCATCAGTCTCCACCATGCCCGACAGAAACGCCGTTTTTACACCTATTGCAGAATGCTGGTTCAGGGTCTCCATCCACGGGTCTCAACCAAAAGGTGGCGTCGTCTTTTCTTCGGCACACTGCACATAAGCTCCTTCACAGTATTAAAACAACTGCGAGCTCTACAATTTCAGACGAGTGTGTGTGAGATAGTTTGATTGACAGACCACTCAGCCTGTCAGCGATAGTCGTGCCCACAGACAGCCGGGCACATAGAATAGTTATTTTTTTAATTAAGTAATGTCGAATGATAAACCGGGACAAAATCTTCAATTAGCGTGACAACGGCTAAAACCGCTGTGCAATACAACGTAAAGCGGGACAGGTGGTCAGTCTACGAGCGTCGTTACACCTTTTCGCCAGAAGGCGGAGTCAGGGTTTACCTTCCTCATCAGTGATTAGATGCAGATTCAGGACCGCTTTTAAAATTATTTAAAAATATTATATTTTCAAATTAAAGACTTTTTTAGGGTATTTGAAGAAAAACACCTTCTCCAGTGAGGTAGAATTAACCAGTGGTTTAAAAAACAGGTGGATTCAGGATGTACAGTTAGATTTAGCCACATTTTCTTCATCTCGCACAACTGAGATGAGTTTATTTATTAATTGTATTTAGATGCACACATTCTCACACTCACTCACTCACTCACTCACACACACACATTCATTTCCATACACGTTCATCTTAGGGCTGCATACGAATGGCTCCGTCCAGTCTAATGACCTCCCCATTCACCATGGGGTTCTCGGCCAGTGATGTCACCAGGTGAGCAAACTCAGCGGGGTCCCCAAGGCGGGAAGGGAAGGGCACCTGACGAGCAAGAAAGGAGCGCACCTTCTCTGGAAGACTGGCAAGGAGGGGAGTAGAGAACAGACCTGAGGGAGGAGGAGGAGGAGGAAGGTTTGGTCTGATGAGGCAGGATTTTTTTTAACTTGCATTATTTTACATAATCACCTGTTGCTAATTGTGCAATTAACACACGTCACATGACTCCGGATGAGTGTTAATGTATTCACTGCATCTTGACTGTTGCAGCAGATCAAAGTTAGGAAGTCATTTTACAAACCCACCTGGTGCTATAGTGATGACCCTGATGCCCATGGGGGCCAGGTCTCGTGCAATAGGAAGAGTCATTCCAACGATGCCGCCTTTGGAAGCTGAGTACGCTGCTTGACCAACCTTGAATAAAAAATACAAAATTTGTTTTAGGAGGAAAAAAAATCTGACAACCAATAAATGCTTTTTTTATTATTATTATTATTTTTAAATCACCTGTCCATCAAAGGCTGCCACACTGGCAGTGTTGATGATGCAGCCTCTGTGTCCGTCCTTATCAGGTTCATTCTTTCCCATCGCACCAACAGCAAGGCGAATCACATTAAAAGTTCCAGCGATGTTCACCTGCAGGGCAGAACATCAGGGAGAAACGTCACACAGGAACGTCTCTCAGTGTAGATTAGGGTGATTTGCCTTTTGTTACGTCATTCCTACATTGATGACACGTTGAAAATCCTCCAGCGAGTGAGGACGGTCTTTGTTGAAGTTATAAGTCTTGACGGCCACGGCGATTCCCGCACAGTTGACGGCGAGGTCCAGCTTCCCGAACTTCTCTACGGCCAGGGACACGGCAGACTTCACATCTGCCTCTGACGTCACCTAAAAGAAAAAAGTTGTTTTTGTTTTTATTTTCAGATCACTGCTTAGGTGAGACTACCATCCATGTACAAAAAAGATTAAAAACAAATCATTTTACAGCTGTTGTGTCTGAACCATAGTTGGTGAATGTATTTCTTTAAACTGTAAACCAACAACATTAGAACCATATACTGTGAATCAGGGAAAACACAGTGAGTATTTTTTGAGTGTAAACCGAAAAGCTTGTGCTACTTCCTGGTTTGTGTTGGACTCACATCTGCAGGTGCAAAGGCACAGCGTTCTCCCAGACTGGTGGCCAGAGTTTGTCCTTCAGAGGAGGGCAGGTCCAGAATGACAGCAGACGCTCCACTTTGTACCAGACGCTCTACAGTGGCCCGGCCCAGACCAGACGCACCGCCTGTCACTAGGCCAACCATACCCTGTAACACACATTCACACAAAGACATTCAACAGAATGTGATTTAACTGGGATTTCACAAAAGACATAAAAAATAACTACAACATGTTAGTATGTGTCCCTGGGTGACAGAAAGACGCCTATGAAATAAAATGTATTATTATTATTATTATTATTATTATTATTATTAAAGAACCTGATTAAATGGGTCACAAAGTACCACTGGTGGTACTTTGGCTCCATCTAGTGGTATATTCCCATTAGGATTCAGTCATACACTGTAATAATGTTGAATACATTACTGTTCTATATTCTTACTTGCTTCGTGTGGTGATGCAGAATGTATTTAAGTAAAATTTGTAGTGTTACTTCATTGTACGGTGAGGCTTTAGCAGAATAGTTGGCTAGCAACATTATCAATCTTTATCTCCGTATAACGTCCAGACATGAACAGGACTGCTGCGCGTTATTATTAGTCATACGTGGTAGAGATCCATGTAACATTTTGAGAGAGGACATTACCCAGGGGCGACACAGTGTAGTGTAAGTAACAATATACATAAGATAAATTATAAATAATAAACTAACATGTTACAGATGCCGAAAACCATCCTTTATGGTAAAGGAAACTTTTGCCAATCCCAGCGGAGCTTGGTTTATAACAAAAGGCAGAAAAAAACAAATTCTGTATCGCCTGGAAACGGCTAATAAAAGCATTAGCTTGTTGGATGAGTGTTTGGACAGAGAGGGTGATGCGTTTGAGTTCTACATTTTATGTTTTAAGATGATGTCGACTGCTGTTACAGTAACAAGCTCGGGCTTGGCAGCATCAGGCAGAAAGAATTAGAAGATTCAACATGACCAGTTGTTTTGTTATTTTAGTGGACTGATACTTTAAATTAAAAAAAAAATCAACGTCCTCTGGTATTAACCCTTGTGTAATGTTCATATTGTTGTTACTCAGCCAGCGTTTGTGGGTCTGATGGACCCGTTGCATTTTGTGGCTTTTGATGCCTCACAATCAACACTTTTATGTTAAAATACTGAACAGATGTTTACCTTATCCCAATTACAAGCAGTATAAACAATATATATGGTTAATATTTGCCCTTTACCTTTGTTAGGTCACATTTATATGTTATAGGTATGTTCTGTGTACCTACACTCTGTCCTCCTCCTGTCTAGGCCTGCTGTGTGTGTGTGAGTGTGTGGTACACAGAACATCAATTTCCACACTTCTATTAGCCCCGGGTCCAGTGGACCCGGACATCTTATATGTAATAGAAATGTGTAGGGGGGTTGTATGGTGTGTGGTCATTAAATATGTATTCTGATATATGTTCTTCACAGAAAATAAGCCAAAGCCAGTGAGTCTCAGTTTGAAAAATTAAATAATTACATCATTTTTCTTTTATTAAAAAGTGAAAACGGGTCCCACAGACCCGAACACCACACAAGGATTAAACGCGCTCATGGAGGCAGTTTGAGGACCCATTGATTCTGCACACGTCTGATGAACTTCTGAACTAGCTACAAGTACCGAGTCTGAGCACAGCACTTTGTAAAAAACAAAAGACGATTACGTAAACGCATCACTATTGTACTGTGTGAATAATGTGAGTGAAGCGCTTAGGGCGCAGACAGGGTTATTAAAATTTTCCTCACCTTGACGCAACGAATGTTCGCCATGTTGATTTAAACAGCCGGGGTGTGACGCCACAACATTCTTCTTCTTGAAATGACACTGCCAGACTTGGGATATACAGAGACAATACTGCCACCAGCTGGTGTCAATAAGACATTGCAAATAGAAGGACAACAGAATTTAAGACATTATTCATAAAGTATCTCCCTAAATTAAATATCCTTCATAATAAAATAAAAAATCTATTCGTTTTGATTGTATTGTGGTAAAATGTATTATTTATATTTATTTTAACATTATTTACTTTACACTGTGCCGTTTGTACAACTGTATTTTATGAAAACTTTATTTTGTATGCACAATCTTCCTTGAATACAATTTTGTGACATGATTATTTTTTAAATAAGTGAACAAAGTATATGAACTGAACAATTCATTTCATTTGTCTTTGTTTTTTATTTAGGATCAATGACAATTTCATTGAACTTGAACTGTAGATGTTTTTACAAGAAAGTTTTATAATGGCAGTTTTGCTTTTCATGTCATTTAAGCTGCTAACACTCTTTTTTTACTCAGACTTTTAGTCAGACTTTCTAATTCACACTAAAATTCGTTGTGACCGTCACAATAATACATAAAAACACCAGAGTAGGTAATTTTGATTAATCATTTAATACATCAGAAATCTAATCAATTAAAACATAACTTGTCAGCAATTTTTCTGGCGACGTGCATGGAAGAGAACAAGACATCGGGTGAGGATGAAAAACACTGCATAATACAATGTTTTTTTTTATTAGATATTTAACATTTCATATAATTTACAAACAAAAAGTACCACCATAGATACTTCCATAAATGGTACATAATTATATACATTATATATACATCTTTACACAAGATTAAAATGTATTTTGTTGACATTATTTCTAAACAACACACCAAGAATTTAAAATATACTTTAATTAATTTTTTTTTTCAATATTTGAAATAATCCATTGTTCAAAATATTTCAAAGTGACTTCATGCCCTTCCTCAGGCAACCTAACCTGGAATTGAAATTCAACACAATTCAACCAGTAATAGAAGGAAATGGAAACACTTTAACTCGCATATGCCTTTACCTGCTCAAGTCTCCGTTGGGGCTTCACAGAGCTGTAAGGTAATCTATGAAAATTAAATAACGTAAAAACTGAAATTTTTGTAAAAGCTTGAAAAACTGATTTGAAGTACTTGGTAATCCTAATATCTTAGACTTCGAGTAGTTTTACATTTAAAAAGGTATGAACCCAACAATGTAAGAAAGTATCAGAGACACATACTTTATGATGCTTTCAAAACACTTTTGAACAAAGGTCAGCAGCTGGAGCGAAACGCTTCGTGTTGTGGAAGGCAGTGAGTTGTATAGTTGTATCTCCAAAATGGGGGCTGCAAAATCTCAAACCCCACAACAACACAACTTACTACCTCATCACAGCACAACCATGAACACAATGCAGAGGAGAGCGACAAAAAAAAAAAAAACACACATCCAGAAAAGTTACAGCAGACTGGGTTATATTTCATGCTCATTGAAGATTATCTTTGTGTCCGTATGTGAAACTAAACTGCAACAATGTCAGCTAAAATATTTATGCTATAGGGTCAACGTTAAAAAAGGTAATGCCAGGAAACCAGCGCCACATTAATTGAGAACTTTCAATTACCATGACAGAAGAACGGTCTCCGTCCTGTTGGTTTGAAAGCCGTGAGAAAGACAGTAGGCTGTATAGTTATCTCCCAGATCTGGTGTGATCCTAAAACTATACAAACTACTACCTCATCCCACAGATTCCAGCATTGGTTCTCTTCGGGACTTGGGACTGAATTTTATTTGATTTAATAAATAATTTTCCAAAAGTACCTGCCTATATGTAAATAGTTAGAAATTAAAAAAAAATCTTGGAAAAATTAGTAAACTCAAACAAACACTGACAGGACCTTTGGTCTGAAGTCTGATTGAGAAAGAACACTCCCAAGGCAGCAACCAACCATAAACACAATTAAAATACAGTGATACAAAAAGAAATCACAGTACAGCATTATTTTGTTTAAAAATTATGATAAAAGCTATGAAAACCTGGCCCCTCAAAAAAAATCTCTTTATTATGACGCCGAGTTACTAACTGATTAACTAATTTTAGATGTTATTGTGGATCTATTGTTCCAGGCACAGTATTCCACTAAAATCAATCATCGAGAGAAAAGTAGCTTTCTCCTTAGCACAGAAGATGAAAACACTTCGTCACTTTAAACATCTTCACTAAAGAGACTATATATACACATTAAAAAAGCCTGCCATCTATTGGTATACCCAAATACCCTCAATGGATGAACCATCAAAGGTCAAGATACTAAAATCAATGACCAGTGAGTCAATTAAAGTTAACTTTTTTTAACCAACAGCATGTGCTAAGGGACAAATGCATGTGACATGCATAAAATGATGGCAGATGGCAAAACACACCTGGGTGTTACATGTCACTAGTGTACATTTCTCTATATACATTTCTTATTTCCTGGATGCTGGACATTGCTGTAGCAGTAATTAAACAGGCACAAATGTATTTTTTGTGATGTTTATGTTAATTCGCTGCATTTGAGTGTAAAACCTGACTTCTGGTACAGCCGTCCTTCTAAGAGGGTCCCTGTCCTTGAGGAGGGTCTTCAGAATCGACCTGGTGGAAAAACATAATGACATAAATCAAGTCATCGTGGTATGTGAGCCACACAAATGCGCATCAAGCAACCCTGAATCGACCTGGTGGAAAAACATAATGAACAATGCGCATCAAGCAACCCCACATACAGAACATGTTACTGTTACTAACGTTTTCGGTTTGATTCTTAAATCTTAGTCAGGCTAACAGGCCATCCTGATCATTACCGCCGCCTCGATCCGTCACTAACGTCAGCCCCATTGTTATGTAGACATTATGGAGGTATTTGTTAAACAGGTAAGAAGACAAACTAGCGGCTGATGACGCAACAGAGCCCCTTTAGCATGCAAGTGCCCCTGCTGTGGAGGGCAGCTAACTCTGGAGCTAGCTGGATTTGGCGGTTCTCGACCTCTCGCTGCGGACTTTGTCATGTCCTCGCTCCCGGAACGCTTACACAGACCGGCGGCTGTCTACGTCACCTTTTGTAGGATACAAATGCGAAATTATGGTCAGGTGGAGGATAAAAAAAAACCTGAAACGTTTATGTCAGACCGTAAACTACTCCAGGTGGCTCCGCTATCATCGTCGCCATCTTTCCTGGTGGAGCTGGTTTGTGGCCGCTGGCTGAGGGCTAACGGTGGGACGTCCAAGTATCGCGAGAGTTACACATTATTACAGTAAGACTTGAGCTGCAGACACCGAGACCTTTTTTTCATGGACTGGGGCCTGAGCTATACTATATATTAAATATCGTTAACACTTATTTGGTGATTTTATGAACTACAATTTGATCTCAAATTTGATCAAGCAAACTCTACTTCAATCTATTTGAGAATTTGGATCACATTAGCCAACATATCATTGTAAGCACTTCTAAACATAGAACCTAAACATAAAGTTAACCTATGTTTTTGTTTTGTTTTTGCATTTTAAAGGAGAGATACTGATATTTTATGATTATGGTTTATAATGATATTCCCTTTTGTTTGAAATGGTTCTCATCTTTTAAATACTGCAGGTGTAGACCAGTACAGAGCCAAATGTTAAAAAAAGCACTCATGAATACACCTCCATTTTTTATTTCCCCAACTAAAACTGGTCATGTACTTGTTAAGAGATACTTAGCATTTTGCCAAACATATCACTTCTCAAAATGTTTAGCTCAAGTTTCAGATACAGTTATGCAGTTGTATTGAGGAATTGCCACCTTAAAATTCACAAGCACTATTATAATTTGTTATTTTTGTTGTCATTGATACCATGGTGTTTCTTATACATTGTTGACAAAAATATAACAAAAGGCAACACTCTTTACTAAAAGAATAAATTTTATTTCAGCACTGTAAGTCATTTCCCAACCAGTACAAACATGACTGCCATCTTTGTCTCTTTCTGAACCATTTCTCCCCTCCCTCTGTGAGAGCAGACCACCAACAGCCAGACAAAAAAAAACAAAAAAGCTTTCTTTTTCTCATCCTTCCACAAACAGTCTGGTGCTTCCATAATGCTAACAATGACAACAAATTATACCAATCATAATCATAACGGCAATAATGATGATGATGATGATGATAATATTTCTATGACAATATTATGGATAAATCTTAACCCTTTTTTTACGCTGCACGGGTAGGACTGGGTGGTGGTTCTGACCAATGTGACAAGTGGCCCAAAATCTATCGACTTCAGCCCTCTTACAGGGACTGGGCCACAGATGTTCTTGGGATTATACAGGGATATGGGGGAGTGGCAGTGTAGAGAGAGAGACAGACGGAATCAGGACCCTTGTTCAACTTGACAAAATGCTGAGAGATAATCAGAACAGGTAACACAACTGATGAATTCTTTCCTTATTCTGTATAACAGACATTAATACTGTTCACACTCCACAATACTAAATAGTTTCTTTCTGTCCTGGGATTTTGGTTTTGTCATCACTACCAGTCTCTTTATTCTTGCTCTCAGTTTCCAGGCAGAAACAAAGGAAGTGCCTGCATTTACCTGACAACTCTTATCACACTAAAGTTGAATTTTCCTTTTGTCATTACAGCTGAAACAATTAAACAGCAATGGCATCCGAGTTAGTTTTGCTCAAGGAACTTATTTCATTTTTAATATGCAGAAAAAGTTGGATGGATTAAGACATTTACCTTAAAACAGCTAAGGATGAGGCGCAATTCATATTTATCCACTTTTAGTTAGTTAAAACCAGCAATTAATGGCTTTTTGTAAATTCATATATGTTCCATAAAGGTATTCAATGTTTAATAAAGTCAATTAAAATATTTGATAAAAGAGTTGTGTTAAAGGGAAAATTCAGACACTTTCAACAGCATCCATGTACAACATGAGAGACTTAGCTTATCAAGGTAAGTTTGAGAGGGGAAAAAGAGAGGGAGGGAGGGAGAGAGAGTGAGAGAGAGCATTAACTAAAAAAAAACAAAA